AAAGAATTTTCCAGGAGATAGAGGTTGGGGCTCTGGGATTTAGGGAAGTCAGGAGGTGGAAGGGGAAAGCTCTAAGGGAAGTGAGCAGCTCCCAGCCAAAGGGCAGAAGTCCAGAGTTTGAAAAGTGATGGCCAACAAGAAATCTGCTGTCCTAGGGACCGGCCCCCAAATGACCACCACAGGGCAGGAGGCTGGGGGAAGAGATGCCAGCCTCCATATGTAAGCACACATTTGCATCACTCTCTGTGCAGGAATCATCAGACATTCTAGTGACAGCACTGGGTCACTTGACTTCCTGCAGTTATACGGGCACTTGAAACTACTTAATTACTACGGAAAGGATTAGCCCCAGAAAGTTGCAGACTACATAAACATTTACATTGCACATTAATATAATGGACTTTCTCCTTTTTTCACAACATATTTATTTCTGTGTACAGACTTCCAAGATAGCTATTCTTGATGGCAGGAACCATAATTGTGGTCCCAGAACCTAGCACGGTGCTTAAAAAAATAGATTAAAAATAGAGCTATGCGCCAACAAAATAGATCTAAGGTCCGGAATGGAAAAATTCAATGGTAAGGACGCCCTCTGGTGGAATATCTAGGTAGCAACAGGAAAGGACCTGAAGACCCTGGGAAGCAGCAGGCTGCTTAAATGGAAAAATCTCAGAAAAGGAGCCAGTGGCCAACTGGTAGCCAACCAAGAGCAACCACAGCAGTGCTGTCCAGTAGAAAGGAGCCTCTTAATTCAATTTCAACATTTCTAGTAGCTACATTTAAAAAGTAATAAAAAACAAGTGAGATTAATGTAATATATATTGTAAACTGCAAATATACAAAACATTGTCAATTCAACATTAACTAATATAAAAATTACTGAGATTATGTATGTATATTTAATCAAGTATTCAAATTCCAGGGCATTTTATACTTAGAGTACATTTTTTTGCTGAATAGCTGCAGGTGGCGGTGGCTACGTCACTGGACAGCATAGTCCTTGGGGAAGGGGATTGCGTCCTGCTCGTCTGTGCTCCCAGTGCAGACACAGTGCCCAGGTCACAGTAGGTGTCCTATAAACATGTATTTAATGAAGAACATCCCCCAACACCCACCTGAACTTGTCATGCTCCAAAGAACATGATATATAACTTTACCTCAAAGTTAGCATTTTAGGCAATTTAGAACAACTGGATTTGTGTCATTTTAAAAGAACACTTTAGTAAGTTTTTGTTGAACCTCTATTTGCCCCAGTATTAGACTCTAGTCCCAATAACAGTACCTCTCCTAGAGGCAGTGTTATCTACTTTATTCACTTTCATTTGTTATCATCGACTGATTTATTTAATATTCTGCTAGCATTTAGGGGGAAAGGGATGATTGTGTAAGAGATTCAATAAACCATGATCCCTTCTTACAGGTCCTTTCTATCTAGGAGGGAATGTGGGCCGTACATACATATTCTGAGAAGACAAATAATGAGGAGGCCCTAGTGAGACTGAAAGGTGTTTTGAACTGGGTTGTTTGCTGGCTGTGGCTATGAGACGGTTCCTGGAAGCTTCTGCTCTTGCCTCCCTGGTGTTGGCCTTGAGCAATCACTGCCTGCTCCCCCTGGGAAAAACGATGGCCATATCCTGATTGCCTGTGGAGCTGTTGAGGGATAGGTGAGAAAATCCAAGCTGAAATTCTGCTGGAGTGGGGAGGAGCTGGGGACTGCCCTAGTCATTGCCTCCTCCACCACTCCAGCTACCAGTGCTCCCTACGCCTCCCAGGGCTCCCACCCTGAAGCCCTGACCTGAAGTGACACCCAAAGGGTAGTGACTGTGGTTTTGTGCTGGCCGAGGACTCCAGCTGGCCCTTCTTTCTCTTTACACACATGACACTAACACAGATGGCCACTAATGGGCCAAAATAATGAGACCTGTAGGGAGTGCCACTTCCTGAAAAGAAAAACAGCAAACAGGACCATCTATGTCCTTGAAAGAAGTAGTAGAAAACAGAGACCGGCCATTTAAAATGAGCGTTAAAAGTGTACTTTAAAAGTGAGAAGCTATTATAGTATGAAAATAATAGAAAACGTAGGAAAAACACCTAGGAGTTCTCAGTGTAAAAGAAATATAGTCAAAGTAAAAGCCTCATTAATGGGATAAATGGTGGGAGAGATGCGACTGAAAACAAAACAGAGAGTTGAAGGACTACACCGAGGAGCTCGCTCAGGACGAAAGAGGGAGGAATGGAGGAGTCATAAACAGCAAAGTCGAGGGAAAAGGAGGAGAGAATTGTTCAAATATGGATTATATGAGTTTCATAAAGACAAAAAAAAGAGGATAAAATAGTTAAAGAAATAAAAAGGAAGTGCGGTGGCTCACGCCTGTAATCACAGCACTTTCGGTGGCTGAGGCAGGTGGATCAACCGAGGTCAGGGGTTTGAGACCAGCCTGGTCAACATGATGAAACCCCGTCTCTACTAAAAATACAAAAAGTTAGCCAGGTGTGGTGGCGGGTACCTGTAATCCCAGCTACTCGGGAGGCTGAGGCAGGAGGATCACTCGAACCTGGGAGGCAGAGGTTGCAGGGAGCCGGGATCACATCACTGCACTCCAGCCTGGGCAACAAGAGTGAAACTCTGCCTCAGAAATAAAATAAAATAAAATAAATAAATAAAATGAATTCCCAGAATTAAAAGATAGAGAAAATCCATAATGTCTTTAAGAGAGAAGGAAAAACCCACTCTAGATACACTAGCAAAATTTTAAAGTATCAAAGACAATGAGAAAATTCTAAAAGATTCCAGCATGAAATATTGACCTGGGATTTTCTAACTGTGACACTGGATAAAAAAAAAAAAACAAACTTGGAATGATGTTATTTAAAATATTAAAGGAAACAACTTCAAATAGAATTTAATACACAGCTAGACTTTATTCAAAAGTGCTGGTGTAATAAAAATTATCAAGCATACCAAGGCCTCAGAAGGTTTGCTGTGCAGATTCCCACACTTGACATGTTTTGAAAGAATTCTAATCAGAGAAAGCATTCTAGAAGGGGCCAAAAGATGTGAGAACTAATGCTGACCAAATACTTCGGTAAAGGAGAAAATATGAGAATAAATTTGAAAGCATGCTAAAGTTCTTATCCAGTCAAAGGGAAGATGGGGAAGGTATCAGTAATACTCAAAAAAAAAAAAAAAAAGCCAATGAAGATCAAAAGAGAAAACTTGGCCGTGTGGTCACTCATGCTTGTAATTTCTAGCACTTTGGGAGGCCGAGGCAGGCGGATTGCCTGAGCTCAGGAGTTCAAGACTAGCCTGGGCAACACAGTGAAACCCCATCTCTACTAAAATTAAGAAAAAGAAAAGCCATTAGCCAGGTGTGACAGCATGTGCCTGTAGTCCCAGCTACTCAGGAGGCTGAGACAGGAGAACTGCTTGAACCTGGGAGGTGGCAGTTGCACTGAGCTAAGATTGCACCCTGCATCTAGCCTGTGCAACAGAGTGAGACTCTGACTTAAAAAAAAAAAAAAAAAAAGAAAAGAAAGAAAGAAAAGAAAACTTAAAAAATAGAAATGTTGAAATAAATAAGGTATTAGAAACAAGTCCAAGTGCACTAATATTCACAATAAACACAGTCAGAATGTGGCAAAGGCAGTGCCATGTGCTCACCAAACCATTACATCTTCCTGCACACACAGCTAAAGTGCGTTTTTCCATCCCCGTGCGCCTATGTGGGGTCATTGTTTGCTTCTTGCCAATGGAATGTGAGCAGAGATGGCAAATAGTTTCTGGTCCAAAACCGTGGGACGAATGTGCCTTCCCCTGCAAAGCTGGAAGTGAAGTGCTTTTCAATGATGGAGATGCACGGTGCTTAGCTACCTTAAGGCACTTTTTGGAGGAGAGCTGCAGGGTGCCTGGCCTGCCTTGAACTACACATGGCTAAGAAATAAACCTGTGTTTTGTTAAACCACTGAGGCTTCAGTGTTTGTCTCTTGCAGAAACAAGTTTGCTCCTTTTGACTGCCACAAGAATTGAACCACCAGTTAGAAGACAGAGACTGTCAGATTGAATCAAAAGCAAAAATCCGTATATTTTTTACTTTTGTAGCCCACACCAAGGGCCACATCTAAAGCACACACACACCGGGGAGTAAAAACAAAAGAGTAGAAAAAGACACAGCAAACCAATACCCAAAGACAGCTGTGGAGCTTATTACCATCAGACAAGACAGGCTAGGACAGGAAGATTGTCAGGACAAATTGGGAAAGGCTCACCAAGACTATACTAATTCCCAAGAGTAAGCACCTCATAACCTAAATGCATAGAGGGCAAAAGCTGATTTAAAAATTTGAAACAAGTTGAAAAAACTACAGTCATAGTTAGAGTTTTAAATACACCATTCATAGGCCAGAAGTCATGATGCATGCCTGTAGTCCCAGCTACTCGGGGAGGCTGAGGCAGGAGGATCAATTAAGCCCAGGTGTTTGAGGCTGCAGTGAGCCATGATTACTCCATTGCACTCCAGTCTGGGCAACAGAGCAAGACATCGTCTCTAAAAAATAAATAAATAAATGCACCACTCTTAGTAATGTATAGGTCAGTCCAAAAATAAGAAAGCCATAACAAATAAAAATGACAAAATCCATGCTTGATCCAATAAATATGTACATGTATAAAATTCTGCATCAGAAGATCAAACACCGCATGTTCTCACTCATAGGCGGGTGTTGAACAATGAGAACACATGGACACAGGGAGGGGAGCACTACACACTGGGGTCAGTTGGGGGGAAATAGGGGAGGGACAGTGGGGGGTGGGGAGCTGGGGAGAGATAGCAGGGGGAGAAATGCCAGAAGTAGGTGATGGGGAGGAAGGCAGCAAATCACACTGCCACATGTGTTCCTATGCAACAATTTTACATGTTCTTCACATGTACCCCAAAACCTAAAATGCAATAAAATAAAGGGGAAAAAAATTCTGCATCAAATTTATTAGAGTCCATGTGAAATATTTACAGAAGTTGACCACACTCCATGCCATAAAGGATTATCATGTAATTAAGTTTTAAGTTAATAACAAAAATCATACTTAAAAAAAAAATCTGTGTATGTTTTGAAATAAAAAACACCCAATACTCAATTATTATTAAACAAAGAAGCAACATTCTTTATCTTGAGTTTTTCATGTCTTACCCATCTGTCATCTCATGGCTCCAGCTCCCACCTCACCTGGGAAGAGATGAAGGTGGTGAGGGTCCTGACCAGGGCAGAATCGAAGCAGTGAAGACACTGCTCATTCATGCAGAGATATCTCCTAGGCACCTATTACGTGCTAGGCATCATGCTAGACACTGCAGAATGGAAACAAAAAACCTAAGATTAGGGCTCCCCATAAACTGTGCCACACAAATCAATTACTAGCTGTAATTTCATTAATTTGAAGCTGTGCCTGCCCCACTCAATATAGGGATCCCTTATTCATTGAGGAAAGAGCATTAGACCAGGTTTTACCAGTCCTCAGGCTACCCAAGAACCACCTAGCAGCATGCTGAAAACGCAGGTTCCTTGGCCCTTCCTTGGAAAGCCTAATCTAACCCACCAGGTCAAGAGGAAACCCGGGAACGTGTATTATAACAAACTCACCAGATGATTCTCATTTGGAGCCAGAGACCCGGATGATTTCCTAGGTCCCTTCCAAGTTGAAAATCATCTATTTCATGGTCTTTCACTCATGGCTTAATTTGGTTAGACTTCCGTTTACTTAGATGTTAGGTTTACTTTTTTTTCTTTAATACTGGACTAAATTCTCCCAGTGCCTTGTATTAGCCAAGCCCAACCGAAAGCCAAAGGCAAGGGTGATGCCGTCCTCCAGCCTGTGGCAGCCTGGAGGAGGTGACCGGGTCCTGGAGGGACCATCGGAGAGCACCGGCCCCTCTGCCGTCCTCGGGGAGTCCAGGGAAGCTCCTTACACTCTGCTTCAGACCAAACATCTCCAACAATTACATATTTTTTCTTACACAATGAAATAATAATAAGAGAAAAATAAAATAACATTTTTGAAAGTGATTGAAGGTTTTAAGAGGTTTTCATTCTACTGTGTATCCAATGTTTTCCTTTTAAAGATTATTGGTAAAGTTTATTTTACTTTTAACTCAAAATCTGTCCACAGAAACTTCCAGGGAAAGTAGGATTCCCTGCATCGCAGATCAAGATAGACGCGGCGCTCTGACGGCCTTTTCTGTCCCTTCCGGGGGTCCCTTCTTGGAGGATGTGGTGTCAGTTGCTCCAAGCCCCTCCCGTCCTCCACAATGTCCTTTGGCCCTTCTTGGGGGCCCAGTGAATCCTTCCACCTTCTCACCCGGGCTCTTTCCCTCTTTACCCAGCAACAGATACATTCACTCAGAGGATTTCTGTGATTGGCTGAAGATAGCAGGGGTCTCCCCCATCCTCGAATGTGTTTTCTTCCTCTTTACCTCCGCCTTGTTCCTGTACACCCCACACGGACCGAGACTGATTTGATTAAAGCACCAGAGTGCAATGGCCCCCAGAGCAGGGCGGGTCCTGGGGCTGTACACCCTGACCACCCTTCTGAGCCTGCAGGAGGCAGGGGCCGCCAAGGGTGAGTCCAAGGGCGAGCGGGGCGGGGCGGGGAGCAGAGATTTACGGAACTGGGTTACATGGGGAGGTGGCATGGAGGATGCTTGTTCCCCTCCCTCTCTGGTTTATGGGCAGCTTCCTTCACCCAGAGACACCCAATCCCCCTCACCTCCGTCACATCCACTCTGGACCTAAGTGAAGGTGCAGCTCGGTCAGCTGCGCAGGTGTCCCATTCAGCATTTGCTCATGTTCAGATTTCTCCTCATTCCTTCCTCCTTCCTGAGACCCAAACCTTTGCCCAGCAGATGCCAGCAAGCACCCTGATTTCTCTACCACCACTGGCCCAGAATGTGCCCGATCAAGTCCAGTTCTGTTGCAGTGTTTATGCCCATGCCGGTAGTTAACTGTTTACCTGTCTGTTCTTCAGGAGACATGGGCTGGTGTGCAGGTCCACAGCTGGTTGGTCTTTCTTGCTTGCTTTTATTTCCTGGCCCACCATTGTGCTGGGTGCATGCTAGTTCCTCAATAATTGTTGCTCAAACAACTTCACAGAAATCTACAAGAATTAAAACTTAATCCCCAACTTCCAGAAAATGAGACAACAGTTATGGAAGAGACAGTGATAATGCTCTGAGATGGAGGAGCTGGGACATGAACCATGACCTCTGGCTTCTTGTCCAGTGCTCTTTGCAATGCCTTCAGTTGCTTCTTTCTATCCCGTTGGTCTCTGGGTCCCTAACCGCAGTTCCTGCTCCTGCCAGCCATGGCCTGTTTCCCTCACACCCACCTGCATTGCATCTCTGTGCAAAGCTCCACCACTCTCCTGTCCTTAATCACTCCCTTCTCATCCCACCCGACAGTCCCGCCAGCTCACAACACAGGGCCCGACAACACAGGCAGGACAGATGACCACAGCTGAGATTTAAATTCTGGAGCCCCAAACATGATTATAGGCAGCCTCTCCTCTTCCCTTCCTGATACACCAGACTGCACTGCCTGTGCCGGCTGCGGTGTGCTGGAGTGAGCCTCTTTCTTCCTGTCCTCTCCCTTCCCCTCTCCCAGGGCTAGCCCAGTGTCAGAGAAGGACTATGTCCCCACACAGAACCCAGGACAGGGCCCAGGCTCAGGGACTCAACAATCACATATTGTGGATGAGACAGACACGTTTTCTTCTCTCTCCTTGACCTTGAACTCACCAAATACAGTTGACCACATGGGCTCCTACGGACCCGCCTTCTACCAGTCTTACGGCGCGTCGGGCCAGTTCACCCATGAGTTCGATGGGGAACAGCTGTTCTCTGTGGACCTGAAGAAAAGTGAGGCTGTGTGGCGTCTGCCTGAGTTTGGTGACTTTGCCCACTTTGACCCGCAGGGTGGGCTGGCCAGCATCGCCATGATCAAAGCCCATCTGGACGTCCTGGTGGAGCGTTCTAACCGCACCAGGGCCATCAACGGTACCGGCCCTCCCTCTGCCCACCCAGTCAGGCAGGAAGGTCCAAGGAAACTTCCTCCCATCCCATTTCCTAGGCCCCCATCACTCTGGGACGTGCTCTCAGCACCTGTACCTGTCATGCTGCCTTTCTTTCTCAGAAGGCTCCAGGCCTTCCCAGACCCCTTTGGCACTCCTCTCCTTGAGGAATGACACCTCTCACCTGGACTCCTGCCCAGGGACCAGTCAGATGTAGGAGCTCCTGGTGTCCCCGCTCCCTCCCCAGTCTCCCCTCCCTCTGTTTTTCTCCTCTCCTGCCCCAGTGCATACCATCCCAAAGCATCCCCTGCCCTAAGATGGCTACGAAGGGGAAACATCCCTTAATCCCAGTTCTAGTAAGCCCCTGGGGTGAGGGATGAACCTGTGGACTCAGGTCCCATTCCTCCTAGTGCCTCCACGGGTGACTGTGCTCCCCAAGTCCAGGGTGGAGCTGGGCCAGCCCAACGTCCTCATCTGCATCGTGGACAACATCTTCCCCCCTGTGATCAATATCACTTGGCTGCGCAATGGCCAAACTGTCACTGAGGGAGTGGCCCAGACCAGCTTCTATTCCCAGCCTGACCATCTGTTCCGCAAGTTCCACTACCTGCCCTTCGTGCCCTCGGCTGAGGATGTCTATGACTGCCAGGTGGAGCACTGGAGCCTGGACGCACCGCTCCTCAGGCATTGGGGTACGGAGCCCCTCCCCACACACCCTCCTGGCATTTCCTTTACTCCAGAGTCCTTCCTTGTATGACTGACTCCTTCCTTTCTCTCCCAGAGCCCCAGGTGCCTACTCCACCACCAGATGCCATGGAGACCCTGGTCTGTGCCCTGGGCCTGGCCATTGGCTTGGTGGGCTTCCTCGTGGGCATCGTCCTCATCATCATGGGCATATACGTGTCCAGTGCCCCCAGGTGCAGAGGCCCCGGGAGTCTGGGGGGAGAGGGAGGAAAGTGGATGACTCTGAACAGGACATGGGTGGAGAATCAGAGATTCTGTTG